GGTCCTGCTGCTTTCCATCGTTTCAGGTTCGATACAGCTTTCTCAACTTCAAGAAGAGTTGGAGAACCGACATCTACATCCCATTGACGTTCAGGCTGGACGTTAGGCAACTAAGGCATTTCTGAGGGTTAGTTGAACTGTGCTTCAAAGTGTTCTGACCAAAGTTTTAGCCGGTTGTTCTGAGAAGTTATCAGTGTCCCATCCTTTCAGTGATGATTTCACTTGCCATCCTTTCTCTTGGTGGTATCCCTACAAAGCCTAAATAGTTGCTGAGTGTTACCCAACGCCGATGCCTTCTCTATCTCTCGCATTTGCTGCCCACCACTGCTTGCGACCAACACCAAGACTCTTTGTCAACTTAGGTTTCACTTGTTTCGCTCTGCATCGTGGTCAAAGCCAGCTGAAATCAGTCTCCTTGCATCAATCAGTTCATATGACGTCTCATAAATCCAGTGACATTTGTTAATCTTCAGGTGTGGGTTGCCAATTGTCTTTACCGCTGTTTCTTAAGAAGACATGATGTCACACCATGTTTCCTCAGGATGAGCATTCCTGCAACGTTCAGATAAATGCTTGTATTCCACTTCTTTGAATGGTAGCTCGACGTTTCCATTTTCCAATCGACCATATACAGTTTTTGCTGTCACTTGTTTCCTGCGACTAGTAAGCTGCAGACACACGAGTGCGTACTAATGTGTGATTGGAGTCCAAACTGGTACTCCAGAAACAGCGACAATCCCCCACAGATCCTCTTCCAAGATGGCTTATAGCAATGTGATCTATTTGTGTCCATCGTTAATTTGATGTCGGCAACCTTCATGTGAAACAGTGTCTCTCCTTATACCTAAAGTTAGTGCAGGCTAGAAACAAGCGATTGTCAGAGTGAAATTGCAACAGACGATCACCATTGTCGGTTCGTTGCCATGGGATTCCGCAGATTTCTCCAAGATGCCTTTCCAATTGGCTTAACTTCCCTAGTTGGGCGTTAAAGTCACATGCCATTATGTCTACGTCTGAACGTTTTGCTCCTTGTAGCAAAATTGACAGCTTGTCATGGAATCGATCCTTTGCATCATCCAGGCTGCAGTCAGTGGGTGCGCAGGTGGAGATTAAGAATGGGCATCACCTAGACTCACAATCTTTCCTAGTTCTTACACATCCATTCAGTCAAACAGGACATAGATGGCTGTCTACTGAAAACCAGTCGAGGAGAGCACTTTCTGCTCTACAAATCAATGCTATGTCTACATCACAGATTCCACGAGAGCTGGTCATTGCATCTCTGGATACTTCTAAAGTGAGTTTTGAAGATTCACTAATATGGCCAGATGTGGTCAATTTTAATAACTACACTCTGGTTCGGTATACCTACCTCAGAGACAGCATACATTCATGGTTAGAGACTTAAGGGTTTTGCGAGTGATGCTTGCTGTTCGGTCTGGTATAGAGTTTGGACGTTGAAAGCTCCTACATGAAATCGATGGCGGGTTCTTAGGAAATTAGGAATAAGATATTGATGGCTTTGATCTTCGGCATTGGTTGCAGAGTAAGAGGTTGGGTAAGGCGTAAGAAGTTAAATATTAGTATCAGGAGGCGAAGGCAAAGGAGGAGACAGTTGAGGAGGTTAAGTTATGTGTGATAGGGTTTTGTGTACTACTGGAAGCGTGCGGGCGGTTGACACTTCCCAACTGCCCACACCGTAGAAGGCTATTTATTCTTAAGGTATCTGAAATAGAAAAAGATTCGTGCGACCACAGAGCCCAGGGGAAATCTGCCTGAGGTCGGTCACGTACTGTTTTTCCGACGCCATTATAACTGGCCTGTAGTATGGGATGTGTGGTTGGACATACATCCTGTGATTTTGGATTACCATTAACCACTGATGACTGGTCTAAGCCACCATAATGTACTTCTGAAAGAAGTGTGGAATGGTGGTGTTTTTTACACCAAGAAAATCAGGTTTTCGTCTTCGGTATGGGGAAGATTTTGTTACATGATAAGAAGATAGAAAGATTAACCAAGTTTTGTTCAATCAGTTGATAGTCAGTTTCACATACTTCTGCCAAGAAACTCAAAGTTAAAGAGGCTAAAGATCAAAAGAGTGGATTTTAATATTTTTCTAAGTTCCGAGACAGTCTACAATTCACTACTAGGGCAACATATCATATCTTTTTACAGTTACTTAACTAAAGACATATTCTCTAGTTTTTACGTACTCAATAAGCCTTCACATGTAACTTCAGGCATTTTCGTCGTCACTATTACGATTGTTTTGTGCATTTTGTCTTCTCTTAATAGCTAAAGATTTAAAAGTGCATAAAATCACAGCGTAAAACAACAATATATTGGCGTCATTTATATATTAAGTACATCTACGAAATTGCCAGCACCCTGCACTCATGTTCATCAATAGGAATGAACTACGGAATATAGTCATAAACTGTATTAAGTTGTAGATTTGACTGGATGGGAACAAAATGTGGTAGGCAAAATCAACGCCTGTGCAACTCTAATACGAAGTTGATGAGCTTTTGGCAGTATCATAAAATGAAGAATACTAGAGTTAACTTAATATCTGTTGATGCATCCTAGCCCTCTTAATAGGGTTCTGGAGACCTTGAAGGTCAGAGGTTTGAGACTTTGACAAGCATTTTTAGAATCATAGTCAATAGGAACCCTGTTGTAGCTTACTATTCTTTTCAGTATCAAAAGTAGGATGAACTTTGTGGTATGAGACAAGCATACATGAATTCTATTTTGGTCTCATACTTCTTCAGACACTTCTTTTACTACCACTGTTATTTGAAAAATTTAGTCTACTTATTTTATATTTTCACAATACAGTCATGTACATTTATGTGACCCATTTCATAGCATTTCATACTGTCAAGTCAATTTCATGTTTCCTGTCGATGAAATATCAACAATTTTATTGTTTTATAGCAAAAGCCAGAATTATCTCAGCATAGATACTAAAATATACACGACACAAATAATCAGAACAATGACAAAATGTTACGAAGTTGAAAGGAAAGGAAAGTTAGAGAGTAAAACTTAGACATTGTGGTAGATTGTAACTCCATTTAAGTCTGTTTACTAGCATTGTCACACAGTGAAACAGTATTATTTACTGGATAACTTTTCGGACACAATTTATTGTCCATAATCACATGTTTATTTACTAACCGACAACGGTGATCGTCCCTTGCGAATTTGCTTCGACAACCACTTGTTTACAGCCACTTTAACTTCAAGTAAAAGGAGCAACACTGTTTTACTTGGCGTACGCTAACATCAAACCAACGATGGACACAGACAGAAGCTATCGTTGGCGGATTAAATCTATTACTGGAGTACCTGTTTGAACTCCGATCACACAGTGATACGCGCTCGTGTATGTCTGAACCTTACTGGTCTCAGGAAACAGGAAATACTAAAGTCTATGCTCATGATAATGAACCTTAAATAATACTGTTTCACTGTATGGAAACTAATAAACAGACCAAAATGAAAGTTAGGGACTGTTATACAAACCATAGAAAAGAGAAGTCTTCCTTACTGAGTATTCTGTCTAAAGCCAGCAAAGATGAATCTATGGGAAGAATTGGCATCAACCTCAATTCTAAGCGGCATATGTCGTGTCGAGTCAGTGAATTCAACAGATTTTTGAAACAGATTTGAGTTCTGTTGTGTCGATGGATAATAACCTTTTATTCCACTGCCACAACATAACATGTAGGTTACATAAGCCTATTGACAAGAACCCTACGGATTCAGGATTAAATTTTGATTAAAGTACGTTGCTTCTTTTGTTGTCCATTGATATTTAATATGAAGGCTGAGATAAAGATAATTAAAAAGGTACAATAGTTGTAGGGAGTATCATATATGACTATGAAGTATTTTTGAATTTACAAGAGAGAGGTGAGGGATTTGCTCAAAATCGACTAATAAAATTCTGTGTTTTCTTATCTTGTGTACGCTGTATAATGGCTGGCTTTCATCCCCAGGTTTTGAAGCACTATTTGTACATACAGACGTATATCTCGGCCGAAAGCTGCTACATTGACGTGGCGGTTGGGCTTGCATATCACAATGATCCAGCGAGCTATGCTGGGGGAATGCTTGTACCCTCAGGATCCTACTGTGCCAGAAAGATCTGCTGAACAGTAGTTAAACAGAAAGCAGGTACCTTTATAGTGTAAACTGCTACGCTGTGATGATGATCTGAAAGTGAAGTTGTACTGCTGACGGAACGAGAGTGTGACAGTGGTAAGGTGTTTCCCTTGGCTGACCAACAGTGCCACGCTGATGCAGTCTTCTCTGCGGAAATCAGGGGTTAGAAAAGGTTAACCTAAAAATAGCATCCTTCCTCCCCTTCCCGGTATACTGATACATGCAACAGGGATTCATAGTCAGATTCAAAAGCGAAAAACCAAAATCTCAAGCTTGCCAAAAAGTCGTGTGATAGGCCTCAAGCACATGTCCTCTAGACTCCATGGTCACATACCATCCCTTCTTTTCCAAGTACCTCAAGAAGAACTGATCTTCCGCGGTATGGCGGGCCAAGAAGTATCAACCACCCATTCGCTTCTAGTGGTAAACAAGACGTCCATAAACTTCCCATACACTCAAGAGGGGTGTTTAGAGAAGCATAGGTACTTTGACTGAAAGAGTAGAAGGTAAAACGGTTTACAGTTTGTTACTATGAGCATTTATAAAGCAATTTTATGGAGAACTATCCCCTAGGAATAAAAATATTTATCGAGACATAAATATCGAAAAAGCTTCGAGAAACAATTCGGAAATAAGGTAAAAGAGATGTAGTGACGATTAACCGTTTTGTTCAGAACAGCTGGATGGGACACTTACCCTAAGGACTGAGTTTTAATTCACAATGACCGCGGGCCTCAAATTTACGAATTCAAAATGTTTTTTAGTCACGGTCAAAATGAAACATATAAAGGAGTGTATATGCAATGAACGTAACCGAAACCTACCAGCTCGAGTGTCGATTTCTGCCAAACGACTTTCCCGTTCCAATACACGGTTAACATTATCCTTCATTATGCCAACAACCTGAAGGTATGTCACTTTTTAGTAAATACACAAAAAATGCAACCTCCTGGACTTTAGCGTGTTGCTGACGAATCCTGTCATCCGTTTGGTATTTATACTGATTTTCCATGACACAAATAGGTTGAAAAGACTGTAGATAAGGTTCTTAGAAGGATAATAAACGACGAAAACACTGAAATATAGAGATAACTTTCTATTTAAGGCACAAACACTCGAAACTAGTTTAATTAAAATACAAGAAAACCGTAACAACATAACAACAGAAATCTTCAGAATGTTGAGCGAAAATCGCATAAATACAGACGTCAGAGAAATAGGAGTGGACTTACTTAAGCGGAAAAGCATGGAAACGATGTTTCCCAAATAAAACAGTAGTTGTGTCAAAACAGTATATCACTAAACTAAGTCCAAACACATATCGATGACATGTAAGATAAGCACTGAAATTTTCAACAAAAATGTCTGTAATTTACTCTTCAACACCAAAACCATTCCACCAAAAATACAAAAGTAATTGATTCTCAATTCCTATTACCACTTTTCTTACAAACGGTGATAACTAACTAACAACTAAGGTTAAGATAGAAGGGAAGTGAACGGAACCTTCAGAGTGCGATCTACAGTACATCGATTGACTCAATCGCATGCCATAAGATTTGAATGCATATATAGTCCCAAGAACAAACTCAGTTTTCGGAAAAATCAATCAGTCAATGTGAACATAGGACCTGCGTAACGGTCCAAGTTGTCATACTTGGTGTCAGGCAGTCAGAGTAGACGACATCAAGACGAAAGGTACGGAAATAAATAGGAAAGTTGTCAAAAGTCCCCGAACAAAGAGGAATCAAAGAATTCGGATAATGTGTGAATATATCTGAACCAGACAACCTAGAGTCTTCAACTGCCAAATTTCGTTTGTCAAGCCGACCACAACACAGGAGTTCTCATTTCTGCAATCAGCTCAGACCAGCTGCCAAAGACTTTACGGATTGATGCCATGTTTTGTATGGTCATCTTCAATCTTTTTTACTTCAGCTTACAATGTATGGTGACTACGCATGCTTAACATATGTTCCAGTCATCTCAGTTGAAGAAGTTTCACAACCTTATCGACTGACTTTCCTCCCTAAAACTCTACACTTCTTCACAGTAATAACGTAGTAGCACCATGACACAGTACATGCTTCGAATGCAACAGTGATCAAACACCTGAAGTCCTTTTATGTCCTGTCTTTAATAGTCATGTTTCACAGCCATATAGAGGAATAGAGCAAGGGGCAGTGCAGTATACTCAATCGTTAATATGTAAAACGGTATCACGGTGATACCTAAAATGGAGTAAGTTGGCGAAAGCTAAACGGGCTATGTGCATCCCTGGAGAGATTTTTCGGCCAATAACTCACTGGGACTGACCCGACTTCTTAAGTCAAGTAGTCAACGCGCTCATCAACTTCACTCACCATTTTTAGATGAGGTACCAATAAAGACCAGTTCTAGAATGACAAATTGTACTTAGGCGATGAAAAATGCGTCTCGAGCTGTCCAGTAAACTCCGCATCTTGGCAGCGTTTTTACCTAACAGGATATGCCATTATCGAATTCTAGGCCTATTGGTGAGTCTCCTGTGACAAAATCGATCAATATACAGTCAGATGACGAGAAGAAGATCTCCATGCGAACGTTCATGAAAAAAACTAAATAACAATGAAGAGAATGGAAATCCTTAAGGAGGACGCCACTCAACGTACACGACTCACCGATAGGCTCTCACACGTTCATTCATATTCAAACATAAATCCTTCTGCAGAGTGAAATACTTACGTGCCATTGCTTTCAATAAGACATACTGCCATAAGACCTCTCGATTGAAGGAGCCGAACGCCGCCTTCAAATGAAGAAATATAGTCAATGTTCGGTATCGGCAAGTGTACCTCTGTTCCAGAATCTGGCGGAATGAATATTTGGTAGATACACCTACGGTCATGTCTGAAGTCAACCTCGCTTTATCAGGTTTTCTGTCCCCGAGCTTCGTTCAGATATCTGATAACCATATAACCCGGAATCTTGGACACTATGCTCATCAGATTGATTCATTTGTGGTCGTCACAGGATCTCTCATCTTTCTTGAAGACAGGGACGATCAGTGACTAAGACCAGTCAGAGACGAGTATAAATGATTTCCATAAATCAGTTAACTTGTGAACTAGTTTATAACCACCGTGCTTAAATAACCATGGTACTAGCCCTACAACCCTACCGTGTTTTAAATTATTTACAGCATAAGAATCGGGAGAGGGATGTTAAAGTTCCCAACTTGCAACTCAAGATCCCAACGGGTAGCAGGCGATGGAATAGTAGCTGAAGGCCAGCTGAACTGTTTCTCAAAGTGTTACATCTGTCGTTATCCCCAAGAAGTGGATATCAGATTCATCCTTCTTCGCTATAGTTTCACTAACCACTGACTTTTTGTCCCAACTTTCCTTAAATAGTCTAAATAACTGTTTACCGCTACTTATCGCCACGGCCTTTTCCATTTCTTGAGACTTTTGCATCCCTCACTGCTCAAAATCACCATCTTGACTATTTTTAAGCCTAATGCCAGCTGCTTCTATTCCTTCTTGTGCCCGGCGCCTGCACAAATGTGCTCATACAAATACATTATTTCTGAAGATGCTAAAATTCACTGAACCTTTATACTATCTTTTTGAGACCTGGCTACGGTCAATAACGCTGTTTCCAAAGTAGAATGGAGGTGGTACCATGTTTCTGCTAGGTGAGTAACGCTACCTCGTTCCAACAACTGTTCATCCAGTCTTTTGTTGAAAGTAACCTTAGTATTTTCATCATCATGAGGCGCTCGGAACGGCCTTGTTACTGTAGTTTTCCAACGACCATATAGAAAAATATCGAATATTTATACGCTTAAGAACCTCGTGCAGTAGGCAATGGAACATACCTATTGTATGAAAGCTAATCACACCCAAACCTCGAAAGGTAGAGCTGGGTTCGAACTTGTCACCTATCGGTTAGAATTCGATTGCCTAGACCAATGGGTCACGGCTCCACGACCATTTAGGTGCAGAAATCGGCATGCTTGAACCGATGCATTATCTGTGTACCAGCGTGTATCGCTAGAAGAGTAGCAGTCCTCCAGTGACTCTTTCTAGTCATAACAATGGGTCCATGTGTGAGATGGGTGAATATCATGTCAGATATCTCCGTGTTTCGGGTTATGCTGGTTAGAAATAGTTGGTTGTTTGGACAAAATAGTAGCAGGGGGTCGCTGTTAGCCATTCGTTCAGCTGGAATTCTAAAGAGTCACCTAAGTACCTTTCTGCTAAGTTACGAGTTACGGATACAAATACTTGTTTTCATTTACCAGTCAGTTTTTTAAATACACTGGCCATCAAAGTCAGTGAGTTAGATACGAAACTTCATTGTTCGGCTTTAAAGGCATATGAGATTTTACCCACAGAACATAAACATTCGAACAGTAACATCTTTCCACACTCTGGAGGCGGAAAGATGACCTACTGGCTGAGTAACTTCAGCTTTACAAGTTAATGGGGAATGTTATCATTATTTTATTTAAATGTTGCGATTTAATTGTTTCGATTTTTGTGGAGATACGACAATATGTTGTTCATGCAGCGTCAAAGTCAACTGTGAGTTAATTCCTGATCCCCTTAACCGCAAGACAGCCCAAAAACTTGAAGAAACACGCACAATCGGCAAATATCTCATGACGATCATATACTGTCATTTCCCCAGAAAGCATTTACGCTAGTCGTACTTTGGAAGTCCTGCGCAAACAACCTAGCCACAAAGGAACACCTAGGGATGCGCAAAAAAATTACCAGAAAACTGTCTTTTAGCTGTAAAAATGACTAACCGTTAAGGGTTACTTAGCGACTTGCATAAGCATGTCAGATTTCTTAGGTTCTTACAATACTACCCAGTCAAACACGAATGTGAAATAATGCGTGCGAATGCAAGAATAATGGAGATCAGTGCATTAATTGGGTCCTGAAGTAATGCTGAAGTGCGACACTTGAGAGGAGCTTTACGGATTGCCGCATAAGTTACGCACTTGCAGAATAATTTAAACGTCCATGCGTGAACGCAGCTTGATTAACATCCGATTCCCGTCTTATTTCAGCGCTACCCGCATTATTTCAGCGGTTCACAGCAGTCTTTGGATAAAATTCTTATTACTCACACCTCACTTGAAATATTAACACTATTTATTCAATTATTTAGGCATTCGTGCGCATTACTTCCGCAATATGGATCACTGGTGCATCAGTGAAAAAGGTATTGAGACTTCTCCAAATAGATATCAGAGACAGACTAGCTTCCTATAAAGCAACAAGCGCATAAAAATAGTTGTATTTCGTGGTTATCAACATGCAGACAAATAAAAGTGAAGGCCGAGAAAGATAAAGGAATACCTTATGACAAACTAGTGTCATTATCCTACATCATAGTGGACCTAAATACACCAGTGATTAATAGCGAATCAATGTGTTGCATTAAAACAACTTTCATCACCAACTTAGTTAAGAAATAAAACATAATCATTTACGTGACAACGACCTTGAATGACGACGCCTCTTTCAAATAGACTGGGCATATTCTAGGGTCACAAAATATGTTCAATATCCAAACTCCTTAAACTTCAAACTTCGTGTTGTAGAATTAGTGAACGACGGTTCTGTGATGAAAAGAGGAGTTAGAATCCCTACAGTTCGCGAAGGAAACCCGAGGACTGCATAGGCCTTGTTGGCTGCAGAGCGACGATTGACTGAGGCTCCTGGTGAGTCACTTAGCGTAACTCCCAGAACTTGTTCCATGTTAGGGTGACAGATATTCACTTCACCCAGAGAGTAGGAACTGAGACTGCTCTTATATTTGCCGACCATCATTATCTTGTAGTTCTTCGAGCTGAGAGGAAGCAGGTTTTCTTTGGTCCGACTAAGGGTTTTCTTAATGTCCTCCGGGAAGGCCGAAATATCCGTTGTCACCTGTATTTCCGACCAGATCTTCAGACCACTGACACAATAGTGGACGAGAATTGAGGGCTCTTGGCAGGTCATCGACGCACTTTGA